AAGTCATCTCAAAAGTGCCAACTGCCACCATAGTTCACTCATTCTCTGTCTCTGTTCGTGACAGCACCTACGTGTGCCTATGAGAGAGGGAACGAGCACCCCCCGCAGGCCCGCCCGTCCTCCCGTCCTCCAGCCCGGCTGATCTCGGGCACTCGCGTGAGGCCCCCACGTTCAAGGCCAGGCTTGAACCACGGTTGTGTGTGGGACCCAGCTCCCGTGAGCCGGCCCGTCCTCCCTTTAATGCCGTCATTGTCACCATCACGGGGAGTCGTGGGAGTTCCCCAGGGCCTCTGACCCCCGCGTGGGGAGCTCCTGAGGGCAGGGCCTTATCTCCTCTTCCTTTCTCCTCTGTTCCTGCTCAACTGTGGCCCAGGTCCCACTGTCCCCAGAGATAAGCTGAGGTGGGGCCCCGAGGCCTCGGGGGCTGGGGGTCTGTTGCTCTGGATCCTGGCTGAGGAGTGCTGTGAGGGCTCTGTCTCGCCAGTGTGGGTGCTTTCTAGGGGTTTCCCTCGTTGGGCCTGAGCAGGGGCCTGGCCTTGAGGAATCTCCCCTTCCTCCCAGAAAGCAGGCCTGGATCCTGCCTGCTCCCCTCTGCACCCTGGCCCCTACATCTGAAGATCGACGGTGCTGGTTATAATCCACGGCCACGTGTGCACGTGTGTGCAGGCATGTTCTTTGCACGCGTGTGGCCTTGAGCTGGCCTGCCATCTCCCTCACAACTCTCTGGGCTGTGGGTGCTGTGGTCTCTCTGAGGGCAGAGCCGATGGCTGGGGCTGGATCCAGGACTGGGTCATAGGTGAACAATGGGCCCAGGCTGGCAGATAGGAGGTGGGGCTGCCACCGGGCTGAGTGACCACAGGGGAGCCTCACCTGTCTCTGCACCTCAGGCCCCTGCAGTGTCTGATTGAGGAGTGGGGTCCCCTTCTCAGGCCGAGCATGGGAGGCGCTGGGGAGGGCAGGAAGAAAGAAGCCTGGCCGGCCTCTGGAGTCCCAGCAGCCTGCCTATGCTGGGCAGGGGGTGGGTCACAGGGCTGGAGATGTGGCCCGGCTGGGCCTTGCAAGGTGGGAAAGAGGGCTGGGCTGGGACCAGGGGGTCCCTGGTGGGTGGGCTCACGGGGCTGTCCAGGAGGTGGCCATTGCCAGTAAGCACCCTCTACCTTCCCTTTAGGCGTCCTTCTGGACATCCAGCAGCACTTTGGGGTCAAGGACCGAGGCGCCGGCTTGCTGCAGTCAGGTGAGGCCCGCCTCCCGGCGGCATCTCGGGGTGTGCCGGGCTGGCCATCATCTCCTCTGGGGCTTCTCTCTTTCTGGTCCTGACTCCCGGGAAGAGCATGCCCTTTGCATCCCAATCCCACCATTGCTAGTGAAAATGGAGCCACTTCTAACTTCTGCTGCTTTCCTTGTGAGCCGAACTGAGGAACACGTGCCCTGAGGGCGATGGGAGGTGAGGGACAGAGAGGCCAAGGCTGCTGTGTCCTGGGGCCTCGGTGGGCCCGGCTGAGGGGTCCCAGGTCAGCACCTGGGCCAAACCAGCAGAGCCTTGGTGAGCGTTTCCGTCCCCTCCCCACCTGACCCTTCCTTACCGTCTACCCCCAAATCACTTCCTCACCCACGAGGGAGAAAGCTCCACCTGGACAGGCCCAGAGTGGTTCCCACACCCGGGGCAGGAGCCTGAGAATCTGGGTTCTGGCCTAAACACAGGCCTGGGGTTCCCCGCCTTCCTTTGTCCCTGGAGTCCCAGCCTTCTGACGGGGTGCCAGAAATAGGGCCCGATACCCCCGGGCTGCTGCAAACTGGCCGGGGCAGTGTGAGTGGCCTATCAGCCCTTCCCTTCTCTTGTCCCTGTCCTGTCTCCCACACGGCCCGTGGGACCTGCGCTTCTGGCTCCCTGGCTGTGCCTTCAGCAAGACCTCTCTGGCCTGAGCGGAGACAGGGTGAATAATGTATCCACGGGTCTGACGTGGCCCCAGCCTTGCCGGGTGACCCAGCCGGTCCCTGTCTGTCTCTGGGCCCTTGGCTCTGGAGTCTGTTTGGCTAAAAGGCACCAGCAGATGTGGGGAGAAGGTCAGCCCAGTCCAGTGCACCCCTTCTGCCTGGCCTTTTCTGGGAAGGAGGGGGTGGGGCAGCCAGCTCTGTCCTGGAACCTGCTTGACCTGTCTGGGTGGCATTCCAGTGTGCCAGGCCTGGAACCCAGACAATGCACAGCCAGGTAGGGCCTGTCCTCATATCCCAGTGGGGCAGTGGGGTCTTCGGAGCTCAGAGGGGGGTGACTGGCACCAGGGCTCAGTCCTCACCGGTACAATTTGGCTAAGCGAGGATGGGGCATGGCCATGGGGCCCAGCACCCCCTACGGGTGGCCAGGTTCCTGCTTTGGTAGTCATTCCCGTGCCCAGGCTATAAGCCTAAACCCCTCCCCTGCCCCTTCCTGGGCCTCCCTGGCTGGGCCAGAACAAATCAGCGTGTCCTGCAGCCCAAGGCGGCCACTGCGCACACAGTGGCCAGCCCGTACTGCAGGAAGATGGAGTTGAAGCCAGATGGGTGTGGGAGGGCGTGGGCTGCCAGGCTGCTGAGGGAAGGAGAGGGCCTCATGCCCAGCCCCCATCCTGCGCACCCACCGAGTCACGGGGGATGGGCTGAGCCTCCTCCTCTCCTGCTCTGGCCCTTGCCGACTGATCTGGACCAGGGTTCTCTCACAGCTTCCTCCATCTGACCCCCACAGAGTGTGGTCAGGGCAGCAGCACCCGGGAGAGGTTGGAGGGGGTGTGTGAGAGTCAGAGTCCTGGTTCCTCCTGCAGTTACGCCCCAGGCTTGCTTCTGGCTCATGACAGAGAAGCCACGCAGTCCCCAGTTTTCTCTGCGACCTGGCTGGAAATAGACAAATCCCTGCAGCCGTCCTCTCATTCGATTCTCCCGAGAACCTTACAGACTCCCTTCTGACAGCCTTGCTGTGGACGGAGAGGGAAGCAGCTGCTTAAGGCCTTGGCACTGGGGGTAGCAGGCCTCCGCATGGCTGCCCGCTGGGCTTGGGTGGGTTCTCTGGGCCGTGACCAGGATCCCCAGTGCCCTCAGAGACCTTAGTCCTGACCCCACGGTCCTCACCCTACCCCTGCACCCGGCACAGCTGGGGTGGCTTCCCAGAGTGTCCGCACCTCTTTTGGCCATCCCAGCTGAGAAGCCAGTCCAGCTAGATCAGGATGTGACTCAGTGGGCAACGAGGCAAGTCACCTAATTGGCCTGTGCCGCGGGCACCTGTCTCTTCGCCAGGACCGATAAGGTGGGAGCCAGGTAGAGGGCGCCAGCCAGGTGTTGGAGCTTGCCCAGATCAAAGGGCCAGGGCTGAGAGCGGGCTGCCTGCTTATTTGTGGGCACCAGGGGCTGCTGGGCCTGCAGACAGGGCAGGTGTGACCGGGGTTAGGCCTGGGCCTGCCCCGCTGTGTCCCCTTGAGCAGGGTGTGAACTTGGGATTGGGAAGAGCTGGCTCCAGCAGCCCTCTTGTGGACCACGGCGTGTGCAGGAGCTGTAGCTCAGCCGCCTGGAGAGCACACAGTAGGGCTGCAGCTCTTGTGTCTTGCTGTTTGGGGAACTCAGAAGCCCCCGAGGGTGGTGGCAGGCCCTGTGCTGGGCCCTGCTCAGACTCAGTCCTCGCTCTCAGGTAGATCGCCTCTGTCCAGGGGAGCAGATGTATTACCTAGTCACTGTCCAGGCACAGGGCCGGAAGGAGCACTGGCTGCTGGCAGGTGACAGCTTCCCTGAGGGGGAGCATTCGAGTGGGCTCTGTTTTTTTTTTTTTTTTTTTTTTTTTTTTGGTATAGGGCATGTGCACTCGCCAGACAGAGACAGAGTGAAAGAAAGCGAGAAATCACCCCCAGCGGGGATGGCTATGCTGCCATCTCTTCTCCTCCGTTCTCCTCTCGGGATCTTGGGCACGCAGGCACATGCGCCTGGTGTGAGTTTTAAGCCACCAGGTCCGAGACGCGAACCGCGGGCGACCACATGGGAGTCCAGCGACATAGTCATTACGCTAACTGCTGGTCCCTCTTTTTAATGTCAGAAGGCACATGCATATATGGTAGTGGTGGTGGGAGTGTCTCGGAGAAAAAAGTAGAGCGAGCGAGAGAGAAAGCACTGCCCCACCAATGTCTGGTCACGCCACGATCTTCTTCCTCCATTTCCCCATCCCGGCGGGATCCTGGGCCCGCATGATCATGCCTGGTGTGTTGTTAAGTCAGTGGGGCCAGGCTGCGCATTGCGATCAGCCATGTGGGATCTGGCTCCCTCTGCACGGTGCTTACCTCCTGTGCTGAGGAGGCTGGCCTGCAAGTGGAGCTTTGAAGTGTGGGTGAGAATTTATTTAGGGAAAAGGTCTTCTGGTCAGTGAGCCAGATGAAGTAGATGTGAGAAACCCTCCTTCTCCTTCCAAGCTAGATTAAAACATGCCAAGAAAACATGTTTAAAGTACGTAGCTAAGCTCGAAAACTCAAGCTTGGGAAATTCCCAGGCGCCCGAAGCAGAGAGCCACACTTAAGAACTAGAGTGGGAGCTGGAAACAAAGCCAAGTGATGAAGTGCTTAGGGACCAGATCTATGTCGTAGAAGCTGGTTCCAACATTCTGAACATAAGCGTTTTTATCATGAAAAAGGGAAAACATACGTAAAGAGTAGAGAGACTAGTACAACAGATTTCCATGTACTCGTCACCCAGATTCATCGGAGTCTCACCAATCTGGCCCAGTTTCCAGGCTCGGGGTTTCTCTGCTCTGAGGATGGGGCAGTGCAGGCTCGTGTGCACGTGACCCAGCGTCACACAGCTGACTCAGTTTCCTGGCTTCCTGATTGCAAGCTGTGCCCTCGGCTGGTGGGCACTGTCTCTGGTGGAGTTCTCTTTCCTAGCCATGGCTTTACGCAGCAATGTAGTTCCAGTCCTTGCTCCATACAGATCTGGGACTTCATTCCCTTCCTCGTGTAGACCTGATATTTCTGTCTCCAGCAGAAGCAAATCCTGTGCTTGCTTTAGCAGCTCATATACTAAAATCGGAACGACACAGACGAGATTAGCATGAACCCTGTGCAAGGATGACATGCAAATTCGTGAAGCGTTTCCATATTTTTGTGTGGTTAGTCTCAGATCTGGCAGCTTGAAAAACCATGCCAGTTGTGTATGTGTGCATGCCCAAAATCCTGATAGGAGAATGAGGAGAAGGGATTGCAGTGCGGTGGTCATCCCTCTGGGTGGTGCTTTCTCACTTGCTTCTCCTGTCTCTGTCGCTCTTCAGGGAGTGCACATATGCTATAGCAAATTAAAAAGAAAAAGAAGAGAGAAAAAGAGCCCAATCTCAAACTGCTCCTTAGGAAAGTCTTCATGACCTAGAGACTGCATGGGATGCAGATGACAATTCCTACTGAAAGCAAACTCAAATTCAAAATTAAGAGCACACAGAAAACTCATCTTTCTAAGGGGGAGTCAGCTGGCCCTGAAAATGAGAAAACAAACTAAAGAACTGCAGAGAATAGACTCATCTCAAGGGGGACTTTAAAATTAGGCGTGCTTTTCATAGCTTTAAGAGAAAAAGAAGTTATAAGACTAGAATAGCACATTATGTAAAAAGAAAAGAGAGATGTTTAAAAGACCCAAATTTTAAAATTCTAGAAATGAATATGTATTAAGATAAAAAAGGTAATAACTAGATAAGTTAATGAGTAGACTAGACCCAGTTGGAGAGAAAATAAGTGAATTAGAAGATGGGCCTGAGGAAATCGGCATGAATGCAGCACAGGGAAGGGTGAATAAGAGTGAAGGTTGTTTGTGACACTGCCTGGGTTTCTTCATTGTATTTGTCAGCTGTGGGTAGGAGTGTAAGGAGAATGGAGGGACAGGAGGCTGGATAGTGGGCAGAGGCTGACCGTGAAAGTCTTGAAAAGAGCTAGGATAAGGCATTTGGGGTTTGTCTCGGGGCAGTGGGGAGCCAGAGAAGGTTTTGGAGCAGGGAAAGGAAAGTCCATGTAAGATGCGTGTGTCAGGATGTTCACTCTAGGGCCAAGTGCTAGAACAGGTGGTAGAGGAGGCTAGAGGCTACTCAGGGCTGGGGTTTGTGTGTTCACGAGGAAGCACCATGATGGAGTGGGGGAGTGGACGGGAGCGAGTGAGGACAGAGGAAGAACCAGCTCAGACTGAAACCAGACAGTGCCTCTGCTTTGGGCTGAGTCTCCTGGCTCCCATCCCCTCTTTGACCAGCCCAGTGACATCCTCCTGCTTCAGCAGACTTGGGCTCTGAAGGCAAGGCTGGGCAGCCTCTGTGGCCACCCCGAGGCCCTCCGGTTCAAAGGGAGTCCCAGGAACCTCGTACATCCTGAGGCCTGAGGGGCCTGCATGGGCTGATATCCTGTGCAGGGTATTCGGGAGGTGATGGTTTCCATTCTTCCTGCAGGAAGTCTGAACATGGTGGCCACTTGGGCGGTGATCGGGGCTGTCTGCCCTGGGTCCCTCCCTCAGCTTGGCTGTCCTTTGGGTGGTGCATCTTGACCCCGCCCAATCCCCCTGCCTGCCTGAGCACCCTCCCAGCCCACAGGATGTGGGGGAGGTGAATCTCTCCAAATAACAGGTCAGTGGAGCCTGGACTTTGTAAAAATAGCCCTGGTTCAGCCCAGGCAAAGGCAGGGGCTCATGCAGGCTCCAAGGCCACAGAGAGGAGTCCTAGGGCTCCCCAGCTCAAACCTTGCCCTGTCCTGCTCCAGGACCACCTTCTGGGGTCAAATGGGCCCCTGCGAGGTGAGGCTGTCATCCTTCTCCATGGATATGGGCCCTGAGCTGTCTACCCACAGGGACACAGAAGCTTGGTGGGAGTTATTCTAAGCCCCTGGGTGCTGCCAGCACCCCATGCCCTGATCGACCGACCAGAGAGGTGGCTGCACTTCAGGCACATGGTCCAGCCCCTTGTCCGTCCGAAGGCCTTGCACCATGACTGGGGAGGAGAGAGTGGGGCGTGGCGGGCCTCTGGCTCCTCCCGGTCCGCCTGTGCCCTGCCCCCTGCGCCCTGGCGCCTGCCCTGCAGCTCCATTGTCCCAGACCTGTGGGCTCAGCACACGTGAGCTGAGTGAGGGCTTCCCCACACCCTGACCACAGGATGTCCTTGTGTGGGAACTGCTGGGAAAGCCGCCCCTGCCCGAATCGGGGTGGGGCCGACGGTCTGCCCAGAAAGCTCTCCTCAAACAAACAAAGCCCACAGGGGTGCGGGCTGGTGGGCAGGGGAAGCTTCTAGCCTGGGGGCCCAGCCCTGCTGGTCTTTATTTGCATCAGAGCTGCCTGCCGGCTGGATAAGCCTGTGCATCCGTCAGTGAGTCAGGGACACGGTGTGGCTCACGCGGGTGGGCCTTTGCCTGTGCTGCTCCTTCTGCCAGGGACACTCTTCCTCTGTCCCTACCCTGATTGTGTTCAGGCCCCTGCGCTGGCTGGTGGGTGACTGCCCAGAGGCCCAGGAGGGGTCCTCCCGCCTCTCTTCCCTAAGCAGGGGGAAGGGCTGCAAAGATGGACCCCACCCTCCTCCTGATGCTGGACTCCCTTGTCTCTGTGGGGAAAGTATTGACCGGCAGGCTGAGGTCCAGGGTCTCTGCCGGACTTGTTGTGTCATCCTGGGCCAGTTCCTCGCCTCCTGGGGCCTCAGTGGCCTTGGCTGTGAAATGGAGACAGATGTGGTGAGGCTTAGGTAAAGTCAGGCACAGAGATGCTTGGAGATCTTTGTCAGGCTGAACCAGCAGGTGGGGCTGAGGCGTGCCTGCCTCTGACAGGAGACCCCTTCAGTTCCGCGCCGCCTGGGTGAGCCCTCTGCCTAAACAGCAAGCCTGGAGTTGGTCTTTGGGGCCCGTCTCCTTCCACGGTGGCCTCATGTCCCACTGCTCACTCCATAGCCTTCTCACAGCCTGACCCATGTCCTGGCTGTCCCCAACATATCCCACACTCTCTCTGACCTTGGGCGCATCAGCTGGGACCTTCCCCTTCCCAACTTGGCAGTCTGTGGTGTGATTTAGAACAAGGACTCTGGAGTCAGCCAAGTCAGGGTTTCAATTCCGGCTCAGTCACTTCTTTCAGCCTCTGTTGTCGCTTCTGGAAGATGACGCTTCTGTTGAGAATCAAACGAGCTCAACTGTGTGGATGTCCAGGATGCACCTCTGGCCCTTGCCTGTAATGAGTGCTCCATAAATGGTCATTGCAGTGGTTATGAACAATAAGCATTGTGCCCCATGAACATTATACAATATTGCTTGTAGTATTTAGAGCTCATATTTTTGTACATGTTATTAATTTCAAATATTAGCACTATGGTAAACTCCTATGCATGCTTCAATGCCCAGCTTTGACGTCACTGCCTCCAAGAAGCCTCCCTTAATTATCCTAGCAGGTGTGAGAGCTCCCTGTTTGTGCTCTAGCATTTTCACCCTAGAAGTTAGGCAACTCATGGATGGTATCTGCCCCCCAGGCTAGACAGGCGATGTCGTTTACTCTGATAGCAGGTGTGAGAGCTCCCTGTTTGTGCTCTAGCATTTTCACCCTAGAAGTTAGGCAACTCATGGATGGCATCTGCCCCGAGGCCAGACAGGCGATGTCGCTTACTCTGACTCTTCTGTGTTCTGTCCACCGAGCGAAGATAGGCACGGAGAAAACAGTTCCTCCTCCCCCCTAGCATGTATACGTTCCGACGTGGCTGAACTGTCCTTGCTCACATCCTCATCTGCTCTCAGACAGGTCCTGGGAGGCAGGCCTAGCAGGAAAAAATTCCTTTTCTAGACGTAAGCAAATAATTTCGGCCCTGACTAGTGTAAACAAGGAAGGGCCTGATGCTGACTGAGGCCAGCCCACGGGGCAGGGCAGGGCGTGGCGTCAAGCCCCTGAAGAGCCTTTTTTCACCTAGGAGTTGCTATTTTTAACTTCAGTTTTACAGATGAGGAGGTTGGCCTTTTGGAGTGGTAGGAGTTGACTGTTAAATTTTCAGGAATCGGGTGAGCTGGTTGTTAAACACAACCCTTGTTAATAACGTAATTATAGAAGATTCTTAGGTGATTATGCTTAGAAGGATTGTTCCAGCTTTTAATGATTTTTCAGAATAAATGTAATAAAATTAGGTCTCAGAACATCATTATCACAATTTATAACTAATCATTTCTATTAAAGACAAAGCTCATAAACGCTGGAGTCATGACTGCCTCGTCGTTTGTGCTATGTCTAACTATTGTTCATGTGCTTAAGGCTAATGGCATCTATTTTATCTGGAAGGTAGAAAACTATACCGTGTGCCGTGACTCTGCTCCTCGACGGCACGTCGGTAGCTTCCAAGCAGCCGCAGTGCGGGTGTGTGCACCGTAGAAACTGGCACATGCCACACGCCATCCCCCTGCCCCTTTGCAGAGAGCCAGTTCACATTTATCCGCACTACCGGTGAGGCTGGGGCAGGTGGGTTGTGGGTCGTCCGGGTACCCGACGATTTGTTGCCTCTGAGCCCAGGCACGTGTCTGAGGTCCCACGTTCCTCGGCGCGACGCCGATTCTGCTCAGAGTTGAGATGGCTATGCACGCCTCCAGCCCCACTCCCCACGCGCTCTCACTGTTGTGCTCCTGCCGGGATGAAAGAGGGACAGTCACACGCCTCCAGCCTAGTCTAGGGGACCTCGGCCAGCCCTCTCTCCCTGCGTTAACCTCCCTCCTTTTCTCCTTCTCCCCGCCCTCTTTCACTGCCTCCCTACTCCCCTGGGGATTCAGCCCATGGGGGCAGCAGCCGAGCCCATGCACACATTCAGCCGTGGTCAGAGGCCAGCTACTGGCTGCTCTGTCCTCCCGCCCCCTGCCTTTGTCTGGCCATCTGCCTGTCAGCTGTGGCACTGCCTTCCAGGAGAAGGGGGCTGCCCTGCTGCGTGACCCAGGGCCAACCTGCCATGCTCTGGTCCTCTTCATCCCACCTGGGCCCTCAGCGACAGTGGCCCCTCATAGAGTTCTTTAAGCCCCCATTGCTCTCTTGTTCTGGAGGAACAAAATCAGGTCAGGTTACTCCTTTGCTCAGCATCCTCCAGGGTTGTCTGTGAAGCCACAATCACCGCAGTGGGCCCCTAGGCCCTGCCCCATCTGGCCTCAGCCATGCCCCTACCCCTCACTCCCTCATCCCTCTGCTCCCTCCAGCCTCTTTGCTGTTCCTCAAATGTGCTAAGTACACTCCTGCCCCAGGGCCTTTGCACGTGCTGTTCTTTCCCAGTGTTTGCGAAATTTTTTTCTTCACCTCCTCCTGATCTAGGAAACATCGCCTTTTCTGACCCGTCTATTAAAAATAACATCTGCAGGGCCTGCAGGTGGCGTGGTGGTTAAGGGCACTGGACTCCCACATGACCAACTGTGGTTTGAGTCCTGGGCCTGGTGGCTTGCTTTCTTACTTTCTCTCTCTCTTTCTCTCTCTCACTCTGTCCCTCTCTGGTCAAACTAAAACAAACAAATAAATAAAGTTAAAATAAATCTTAAAAAAATTTAAAAAAACCTCTCTTGTACACACTTCCTATCTCGTCTTTCTGCCTTTTACTCTCCCTAGCAGGTGTCACCCTCCGACATACTAAGTTATGTATTTATTTATTGTCTGTTTCTCCTTGTTAAAATGAAAACTTTGACAGGGCAGGATTTTTGGTCTGTTTTGTTCATTGATGTAGTCCAATCCCCTAAAACAGTGCCTGGTGCATTGTAAGTACTGAAAACAAAAAGTTAATATTAATGGATGGGAGGCCAGCAGGTGGTTAAAGCAGTGAAATTCCACTTGGCTGACCGTGGTTTGAGTCCCAGATCGGGGGTTTGAAATTACACAAGGCCCGTGTGCATGCAGCCCAACATCTTGAGAGGAGAAGAGAAGGGATTGCAGCATGGCCATCCCCCTTGAGGGGTGACTTCTCACTTTTCCTCTCTTTGTTCTTTGTCTCTCTCTGGGGCGTGCACGTGTCCTATGGCAAAAACATTTAAAAAAATAGTAATAAAAAAAGGGATGGTTGGATGGAAGGACGAATGGACAAGGGAATGAATGCCAGTGTTTCTAAATGCTGGGGAAGCCTCTGCAGGAGCGAGGGTGGCTGTGTGATCCAGCAGGGGTGAGACCCGGGGTTCTAGGCCCCATTCTGCCCTGATTCGGTGTGTGACCTTGGGTAGATCCTTTTTCCTCTCTCTCTCTCTTTTTTTTTGAACTTTGGCCTGAGGCCATGTGTGTGCATGAGAGAGAAGAGAGAAAGCACCCCCCAGTGGAGCCTGGTCGCTGTGATCCATTTTCCTTCCAGTTTTCCATCCTGTCCATATCGTGGGCATGCACACGCATGCCTGGTGTGTTTTTCACACCACCAGGGCTGGGAGCCGCACCTGGGTCAGCCATGTGGACTCCAGCTCCCCCACACGGCCCTGGGGTGTTTAAGCAGAGAGCGGGTAATCACATGATGGCCGCCGTGGAGAGATGGAGGAGGACTGGAGGAGACCAGGGTCTGTCCTCGGCCACTGTGCCGTGGAGCCAGTCCTGCCTCTCCTCTCTAAGCTCTTCCCCAAGTATAGTTAACAATGTGACAGAGTGCAAGGAGTGGGGTCAAATCCCCATGGGGACATTTTTTGGCCTCTGGGGCCTTGGGCAAGTCGCTTTCCCTCGCTGAGTCTGTCTCCTTATCTGGGAGGTGGGGGGGGGGTGAGAAAGATACAGGAGGTACCATGCATGAGCCCCAAGCCTCGCATGAGGAAGCGTCCAGTAACTAGATTGTCACTCTTTTTTCTTTTTTTTTGAGAGACATTTTTGCTATAGGGTGTATACACTTGTAGGAGAGACAGAGCCAGAAAGTGGGAAAAATCACCCCCCAGGGGTGATGGCCACGCCACAATCCCTTCTCCTCGTCTCCTCTCAGGATCTTGGGCATGCACGCACATGTACCCGGCGTGTTTTAAGTCACTGGGTCCGGAACTTGAACTGCATTCAACTATGTGGGAGTCCAGTGGAGGTGCCATTACGCCATCTGCTGGTCCCAGGTCATCACTCTTTTTATAAAAAGTACCAAAGGGCTTGCTTGAAGCTGGACACGCAGGGCACAGGCCTTGAAGAAGATGGCGCTGTGGCATCACGCTGACCTGCCTCCTGAGCGCAGGCCCTGCTACGGTTGGCCCTTTGCATCTGCTTCCTGGTCCCTGACCAGCCTCAGCTCTATTCCCTGGGCAGTGGCCTCCAGCAGGTGGGAGGGCGTGGGACCTGCACCACGCGAGGGTCCCTCGCGAGCCGCCCCTGAGGCTGTCCTCTCCCCGCACAGTGTTCATCTGCAGCTTCATGGTGGCCGCACCCATCTTCGGATACCTGGGCGACCGCTTCAACAGAAAGGTGATCCTCAGCTGTGGCATTTTCTTCTGGTCGGCAGTCACCTTCTCCAGCTCCTTCATCCCCCAGCAGGTGAGGTCACCCTGGCTCCCCACCCAACAGCCTGTTCTGCCCTGCTCAGCCTGTCCCTGGGTCCTAGTCCCTCCAGCAGGTGGCTGGTCTTTTTATTTTTTATTTTTATTTTTGAGAGGTTTTTGCTATGGGGCACATGCGCTTGCCAGACAGAGAAAGAGAGAGACAGAAAGCGAGAGAAATCACCCCTCAGCGGGAATGGCCGCGCCGCAATCCCTTCTCTTCCGTTCTCCTCTTGGGATCTTGGGCACACACGCACATGTGCCCAGCATGAGTTTAAGCCACCGGGTCCGGGACTCGAACCGCGGTAGGCTACTTGGAAGTCCAGCAACATAACCATTGCGCCAACTGCTGGTTCCACGGGTGGCTGGTCTTACTGGCTCATGTTAGTCTAGACTGGGAGATTAGCTCTGCTGCTTGAAGCCAAGAAATGTCTTCCCAGTGCAGAAGGATGAGGGGGTCTTTGCGTCCATTTTTAAAGTGACTCTGGGCCCTCCCTGCTCTGGATTGAGCTGAGGCACTGGCAGCCTGGTGGCCTTCTGACTCCTTCGGAGTATCCTCCTGACTGGGGGAGGATGCAAGGAACAGGAGGAGGAGAGCTGGCCTAGAAGTGAGGCCCCGGGTCCTTGTCCTGGCTCCATAGTTTCCTTGTGTATGAACCCAGGTGAGTCACGACCCTCTAGTTCTTGTTCAGTTTGTGCTTAGTCCAGTAACCAGCTAATTCCTTGGTCGAAGTCCAGGGAGGCAAACTTCAATTCGACATAAAGAAAGTACTTCTTGGGGGCTGGCAGGTGGCATGGTGGTTGAGGGCACTGGACTCTCACATGGCTGGCTGTGGTTCGAGTCCTGGACCTGGAGCTTGCTTTCTCACTTTCTCTCTCTCTCTCTCTCTCCCTCTGTCTCACTCTATCCCTCTCTGGTCAAATTAAAACAAATAATAAAGGTAAAATAAAATAATTCTTTTAAAAAAATTAATTTATGAAACTTTATTTGTTTTACTTATTTCTTTTAATTTGACCAGAGAGGGACAGAGTGAGAGGAAGAGAGACGAGGGAGAGTGAGAAAGCAAGCCACCAGGTCCAGAACTCAAACCATGGCCGGCCATGTGGGAGACTAGCACCCCCAACCACCATGCCACCTGCTGGCCCCAAAATAAAATAATTCTTAAAAAAAAAAAAAAAGGAAGGG